GACATACCTAATTGTTTAGCTTGTTCACCTATCTATCCGTCCCTATACCCATGTTTGCTTTCACTGACAACTCAGTACTGTATATGCAAAAGGGGACTGGAAACTTTTTGAAGGGGAGGGCTGTGAATTATTCATATTTGAATTCTTCTGATGCCTGCTGTGGAGTCAAGCTACTTAAGTTAAAATTCCAGCTTACAAGTTGGGTAACTGGAAACAAGTCACTTATCCTCTTTAACCCTTCCTTTTTTTATCTGCAAAATGGGTGTAATAGTATTATCTACCTTACAGGATTATTGAGAAGAGTAAATACGTGTAGAGTATTTTACATCATTGAAGCGTAGTTAAGTGGTAGCTGTTGTAATTATTCCCCAAAGTGGTTAGCAGATTATCTTGCACATTGTAAATACACAAATAAATGTTTGGTGAACATGTGAATGAGTATCGTGTTAAGGCAGATAATTCAGAGTTTATTATTGAACTTTACTAATGAAATTTTTATCCCCTTTATTTTAGGTGAAACAAATAGAGAAGAGAGATTCGGTTCTAACATCCAAAAATCAGATTGAAAGGTTGACCCGTCCTGGTTCCTCCTACTTCAATTTGAACCCATTTGAGGTTAGTTGCCTGATGCATCCTCTATGTTTTGGAGCTTTGAATCTGCAGACAGACTTACATCAGAACACACATCTATTTTGTATTATGGTTGGAACTGAGAAAAGTGGTAAAGTGATGGAATATGGAGGTTGGCTTTGAATTTGGGTGGTTTTATTGTGAGCAGAGCTTGAAAGAAACAGCAAGCTGACAAAACGAATGGTTTTGCCCTGTCAAATGTTCTTCATTGTTTAGCAACCTAAATATACGTAGATTTATTTTCAGATGTGAAGGGGTAGCTAAACCAAAGCCAAACCTGTTGCCATTGAGTTGATTCTGACTCGGCAGTCCTATAGGACAGAGTAGAACTGCCTCATTGGCTTTCCAAGGCAGTAATCTTTGCGGAAGCAGTATGCATATCTTTCTCCACCAGAGCAGCTTGTGGGTTTGAACTACTGACATTTCAGTTAGCAGCTGAGTGCTTACTTACTGTGCCACCAGGGTTTCTTGAAGAGGTAGCTATCCCCTAATAAATTTAGGATTTTTGGTTTTAAACTACTTGTTAAAACTTTTTTTTTTTTCTGTGTTTGAAGGCTATTTTTTTAAAACCAGAGTCAGTATTTTA